GAAACAGTGCGGTAATGTTACATTACCGCACTGTTTTGACTCGTGTATGGAATTGGCTATTTGTCACACAGATGGCGCGCGCGTAATGGGCCACTTTCCACGCACGTGTAATATAAATTATATTACACAATTATAATTGCGCACAAATCGCGCACCTGCACTTTCTATTAATATCCAAACAATTCCATATATGACATTTTATAAATCTCACTAGCATTATCATAATGCATAGAGAAAAATTGGTATTATAGAAATGCATATAACGTTCACGTGAGCGATCATATCGTTCCTAATTCTTTACGGCAATTTACAGTTCTCGTGTTTCGATCGTTAAGTGAGATAAATTAGAGCGGTATTTTTCCAACGTAAAATATCGTAACTTAAAAAGAATTAAGGCTGATTTATAGAGGCCGTAACAATTGATTTAAGCCGTAATCTTTAAGAAATTGACCAATCACAGTCGTTTGTTCTTCTCACATTCGACTGTAATTGGTCAATTTCTTAAAGATTACGGCTTAAATCAACGGTTACGGCCTCTATAAATCAGCCTTTAAAGCTCCGCGCAACAGATGACCTTTAAGTATTTTGACATAAATCACGAAAGAACAAATTAGAGTACCACCTTATCTCCATTGCGGTACATCCTAGGAATTAGTTCACTGTAATTAATTAACAGAGGAGATTACATCGGTGGCCACTGGCTCGACCCACCGCGCGACCGCCGTTTCTCCTTTAAGCTCGAGCGTGGCTTTAACGTTGGATCGATTAATAGCCTGTTTCCGGCCGAGTGAACGTGCACAACATCTTATTAGCAAAAAAGCGTGATTATACGAATGTTCCACGCGGCAATTCTATATCGAGCACGGTTAAAGGTCATCGATTAAAGAGAGACTTTTCGGATCCGCTAGCTGAAGGAAAAACCGTGTTCTCACTTAATCGAACTCGTATTGACGTATTATTATACATACTCGCTTCGCGTATATACGCGCATAACTTGATAAATTAATTTATCGGAGTACACACGCCATATGGATTTGCCACATCACATGACAAGCACTAAACTTCATATAAGGCCATTAATATTTCCCATAGTGTACAGAATTTCATAGATTTTACATTACAAAATTATTCGTAAAATTTATGATAAAAGTATAATTGTATTTAATTAATAATTTAATCATACATTTATATAATTACTTATATCATTTTATATTATAAAATCAATAAGATTCTGTACATACAACATGGCATGCGCGTATATACGTATATACATACATAATCGTGAAAACAATCAATATATATACACAAACAATATCGAGAAAAATAAATACAATGCAATTGTCATGTATATATAATATTTTCCAAGCATGCGCTTCAGAGAATCAGAGCCTTATTCATCAGAGGTAATGTCAATAAACATATGTAGGCGTATACGTACTAATTATATACAATGTACGTGTGAGATTATGGATTCAGATTGAGTACAAAAAAGTAAAAATTGATTCTACATTTGGCTGTTTCTTAAAAGTATTTAAAAACAATAGATTATTTATCGGAAACTTCGGAAAGTAATTCATATGTAAATTGTATATATTATTCAAGCTTTATTTTTTTTCAGGATGAAAAGCATCTATAATTCAGTATACATCAGTGACGTACTACATTGAGAGCAAAAAGATTTAAAAATATATGATAGATTTATTTAATTTTAGCTATACAAAGCCATGAAATGGACTTGGTTTACAATATACCTTAAACACACTCATACCAACTTTTTTAACCTAACGCGTGACATTGTTAATTCCTTATTCCGTACTTTTTATTTTCTTTTAGAAAAACCATCCTTTAATTAAACCCCAACACGCCTAAGCCTATTATTTACACGTTAAACTCACAACCTAAACTCAGAAATACTTGACTTAGTCCGCTTCGGCAGTATCAAGCCAAGAAACGGACATTATACACCTATACACAAACACATACCTTTTAACCGCAACGCGCAACAACTAATATTCCCTATATTTCCTTAAATTCTTCCCAAATCTCCTTTAGACGCATATCTCTCTTTGTTTCTAAAATAACCTTCCTTACATCCTACTTTTTCTTTATCCCTACCTTTACCTTAATATTACAACTATTTCCTGTTTTTCAACCATATCTTAATATATTAATAATTCTTTACCTTTACCTTCAAATATTGACGCAACTCTCTCATCTTACAATACATATAATAAACTTATGACTAATAACAAATCTCTTGCTATCTAACTAATGCTATCCTATATCCCCAGTCCTTCCGAACTCATCACACCTCCCTATATATGCCCTTGCCTCCTCTTTTTTCTTCTTCCAATAGCATCACTTCCGTGCTCTCGAATCGCTCCGTTCCTCTTCATTATTTGCCAAAATCCTCTACACTGCTTCTTATTTGGTCCTAGTAAATTTCCTCCCAGCTCTTCTTCTCTCGTTCTCACCGAAGCAACATATATTTCCTCCTCGCACGTTCGTTCTCTAGTTATCTTCTCATGCCTCCTATCTACCGTTGCATAATTAATATACCTGGATTCGCCTCCGTGCCATTCAGAGATTCTAATATTTCCAGAAAACTGCTGCATCCTTTAAACAAGCCTTGCGTGTCCACCTTCTTTTACCTTTCCTTTCCTACAACGCAGACAGGTTTCGCCAGTCCTTGTTCCAGGAATACGCCAGGAATACGCTTTCCTATACCTTTCTTCTTTTCATGACATCTCTTCTTTATCGTAGGCTTAACCTTTCCTCAGCTATGCTTATCTTCTTTTACTTTCCATTTCCTGGAACGCCTCTAGGCCCGCCCATCCTTGTGTTCTAGCTTTATTTCACCTTTCTTCTTTCCAACTCCATTGACACGGAACTCGAGAGATTTTCTTCCTTCTTCGATAATCCTCTTCACATTTAATCCTCCCTTTTTTCGTATAGCCTCTTCTATAACAGCACTTCTTTCACCTGCCTCTTGTCCTCTCCTCTGTTTTCTATCCTTTACCTCTTTTCCTTTTCTTATTCTTGTCCAATATTTCCTGTCCCAAACTAAGATTCACATGTGTTCTGAGTTCAGAGTTCAACCTGTCATCTTTTTAACTATCTACTTAACCTATACTTAATTCACGACCGAAGGCTCCTTAGCTAATCATTCACCATACAATCATCTTTACAATCGATCGAAACCTTCCCTACTTTACCTACATACCTTTCCCGCCTATACCGCCCAACCGACTCGTCACCATAACCTCATCCTACCACGGTCTCTAAATACTTTTATATAACTTTTCTCTACTTGCGTCCAACTATCTCCCTTCATTCTCATCGCATCCCCTGCTTACACCCTATCTTTCCAATATTCCTACTTGCCCCATACTAATCTTTAAACCCAGAAACAAAGCTAAAATCACACAACGCACTTTCACCGCTACCATTCACACACGCTCCCTCTAACCAAGTCCGATTTAAAAATATATAAAATTATAGTATTATCTAAGGTTGCCATGTGGTCCGGATTCACGCTCACAGCGCCGAAAGCATCGCTCTATCTTCGTTTGATATTCAATGTGCAACGAAGACAGAATGCATGATGCTTACAATTCGCTGTGAGCGTGAATCGGACCGCAGCCTAGGAGTTTAAATCCCTGAAATACTTATTAATTGTTGTCAAAGGTGCCAATAAAAGCCATAGACTAGAAATTTCTAAGGCAAAATCACGATTAGATAAGAAAATTTCCAGAAAGCGGCGCTTTTTAAAAATCTAACGATTAAATCCGTATCTCACGATCAATTTACATATTAAATAATTACTATTAAAACACTACAATATTGATATATTTTCGTAGCCATATTTTATTTCCGCATGTTGTTCGACAAAAAGACCGCTTTTCGCACGCGTTCCGAAACTCATCGAAAGAAAAGCATCTCAACAGCTGTTAACACTTGACAGCTGTCCTTGCGCTTTGCGTGCTCCAGAAACCAAGTTCTTCACTTCTTCCGGTACTAGTCATGTCATAGGTCATAGGTTAGATTTCCGTGCAACAACAATCGAATATGGACCCGATGTTGCTAAAAAATAAATTTCGTGGTACGATGCTGGGTGTTTTGGTCGGCGATTGCCTCGGAAGTCCGTACGAGGGCTTAACAACTATATCACGTCACAGAAAAGTCTTGTTGCAGCGACGGCTGAATAAATTGTGGAACACGAAGTTCAGAGGTTAGGTCGCGAAAGTCTGTCTCTGTAATTTATAATAAAACCGACTTGCATGCGATGTAATAAACATTAATTTAGACTCGATATTAATTTGAATCCTGTCCTCAGTAATGCATTTATTTGTAGGTTCAGTTTGTTTATATTATTAGCATATTTATAATTTTACATATGATATATCAAAACCGTCATATTTTCTTCTCTTATAATCTTAAACATAAAAATCAAGAAGTAACTCTGAAATTTCCTATACATATATGTGTCTTACATTTTAATTTTTTATAGAATTTTTAGAGAATTCTTAATTGTGTAGAGCCTGTCATGGTATATACAGATGATTCAGCAATGACACGTTCCTTAGCTGAGTCATTGATCGAGAAACAAGATCTGGATATTGTTGATGTGGCTAAACGATTCGCAAAAAGTTATCATGAAGAGCCTGATCGTGGTTACGGAGCTGGTACTGCAACCGTTAGTTTTTTTACTAATATATTAAGCAATAATTTTAGTTTTATATTACAGGATATTAATATTTAATATTATATGGATATTATAACATGAAATTAATGTTACTCAATAATTTTAAATCTCTTCAAAATTATTAGAAATAAATATATATAGGCCTATATCTTAGGATTTTAGTTCTGTTCTCGATATATAGTGTAACGACAGATTTTTTTTTACAAATAATACAATACAAAGTTTTTTGTATTTTTTTTCCATAATTATAATTGTTTTATAATTGCAATTTATAATAAATACTAAGTTTTAGTAATCTCCTATATAAATAGGTACTTAAGGAATGGAAGAGGCACGTGGAGGAGACAAATATAAAGATCCCAGCGAAGAATCTATTCGATGGTCTAGGTTCTTATGGCAACGGCGGTGCAATGAGAATTGCACCTGTTGCGTTATTTTCATACAACAATTATGACAAACTTTTATATTATGTCAAAGAAGCGACAGAAATTACACATGCACACAAACTAGGAATAAACGGCGCTATTTTACAAGTAACTGCAAATCAATTTTTATCAATAAAAAGATACAATAGAAGCAAGAAAAATGTTCTCAAGAATCTCAAGATGTACAATCATATTAATAATAAGGCAAATAAGAGCGGGACGCCGGTATTAAAGCGAGTTTTATTTATTGACTAATTTTTTTCTTTATGCACTTTATGTTTCATAATTTTGTTTGATATCTCTTTCACCTTGTTAAAGCAAAGCCTTTAGTCGATGGGCAGATTCTAAATAGAATCATATCGACTTGCATCGAATTCAAACACTGATGACTATGTTACGAGGTTGACTGTTTGGTAAGTGGATCACACGTCTTCTTGTAAATGCGATTTCTTAATTGGCTAATCTCTTTCGTCTTTTTATTCCATCTAAAAGGTAGTAGTCGATTTCGCGATATGCCATTGGTTGATCTTGTAAACTAAATTTGTGCCCTGACCATTGGCTTAGAGAACACGTCAACACTCTTCTACATATGCGTTTATTACAACCAATTTTAAGATCATAATTTTATTTATAATATATCATACTAAAGAGGGTCTAAAAGTAAAACTGAACTGTTTGTATTTTATATGTTTGTATTAAAGTATTTATTTGTACTATATATTCTCGCTTTAACACCAACGACTCGCTCTTATTTGCCTTATTATTAATTTAAGAAAGTTATACATATACATATATTTCTGTATTAATAGATATCTGTCACAAAAGTCCATTATTATCACAGGCTATAGCAATTCAACAAAGTCTATGTTTAAATGCCAGCGAAGAATTGAATGTTACCAATTTTGTTGACGATCTCATAAACAAAATGGATAAAATTGAGAATGCAAGGTATATTTTACATTTCGATACATATTATTACATTTAAAGAGATATTAATTATACTTATTAAATCACAGTGAATTTAAAGAGCGACTAAACATAGTAAAGAATCTACTTTCTGAGGATGGGGATGAGCCTAATGAGCAAAGGGTAGTTGAACAACTAGGTGTTAAAGTCAGAGCTTTAGAGTCAGTTCCTACCGCGATTTTTTGCTTTCTGAAAGCACAGAAGCGCATAAAAAGGATACGAACTGATGATCCTCTCAGAAGAGCAATTCAATATGCCGTAAGTTATAAGTTATAGCAAAGCTTATCAATCAGATTAAATTATTATCGATTTTGTATAACAAAATATTTGAAAACGTCGCTTACATTATCACGTTTTTGCCATTATTTCATAGATCTCTTTGGGCGGCGACACAGACACGATTGCTAGTATGACCGGCGCGATAGCAGGCGCTTTCTACGGCTACGAAAAGTTCAGCGTACTGCTCTTATCGCATTGCGAAGAATGGGAACGATTTCGAGAAATGGCTGATAAATTGTTGGATATAGCAACATCTATTGATATAAATAAATGAATATCTAATATATAATTAAAAAAGTATATATTATATGAAAAGTTGTGGGAAACTCTTTTTATTGAAATGGTGTTTAAATCAAGTATCATTGTTATGACCTCTAACAACTACAAATAGTTACTAACAAAGATTATATATTCGATGTTCTTTTGTATTTTATTTATATTATATTATTTACATCGCTTCTTTACGAGCTCCATTCAACAATTTATCATTTGGCGTATTAGGTGGCGTGCTTTTTACTAAATATCAATTTATAATTACAACACATTACCATTTATATTTTCGCTATTTTATGTATTTCACATTCTCTCTCGTTCTTTCACGTATTGTTAACATATTTCATTTTTGATACAAGGAATAAAGAATTATATCTGGTAACTGAGTTGTTTGGAAAACAAATCTGTATGACTAGTAATTTTTCACGGAACACTACCATTTGCTAAAAAGTCGGACTTACATCGATATAATCAGTTTTTATTGGACTTACAGTAAAAATACAAAATAATATCAATATTTTATAAGTTTCGTGTAAATAAGAATATGGGAGAGGAGAGGAGGAGAGATTTCGGAAACCGCTTGAATTCTTCTGTTTCCAATCGGTTTCATTCCCTCAACGATCACAGAGATCTTAAATATAAAGCATGGCGTACGATCAGTCTGTAACTCTATCAAAGCGCACACTAAAAGTGCAAGTTCTGTTACATGTACGTCAATAATCCAATTAAAAATAGTAATTAGTATATAGCAACGATATCATAAATGATTTCTCTTGTACAAAGCTATAAAAATTTACTAATTGTTCATCAACATAAAATAATCACTATTTCTTCAATAATGTCACATTTTTACCGCATATACAATATGTTCATTTTTAGACACTTTCCCTAAAGTATCCGACTTACAATCACATTTTCATTATGAAACGGACATTTTAGATACTAAAAAAATGCGGAAATGCGGAGACTTTGAATAAATAGAATAAAAAGATAAAATTTTTAAAGATTAATATGAAGATCAGATAAATACTTGATAACTCTCTCTCGATCCGTCTTATAAAATTAATATTATATGTATCTTTGAACGCGTCAACTGTCGGATTTTTAACCTCAGCTCTACGTATCTATATGCAGAATACAAATAATTTAAAGATTATACATATACTCTAAACAGCAAATATGAACACAACGAAGATGTCGTAATAATAACACTCAACAGGATATACGCATTTATAACGTAGACAATACTTTTTGTACTCGCGTACATTCGATTTATAAAAAAATCTTTGGGAAAGGCGCTTATGGAAAAGATACGTTATAGTTTGACCATTAATAATTTATATTCGTAAATCTTTCACCTATGGTCGAATCAAAATCTTTGAAGTCTTGTTTTCTTGTAAAATTTGTAAAATATTGAAAAATGCAGTCTCTCATAATAGCGAAAATCTTGTGACTTCGTCCATCGATTATAGCGAAAGACTACTGTTGTAGTAGCAACAGACCTTACGCGAAAATGCAAGTGAAAAGGATAAAATATTTTTCTAAGTAACAAAATGTGTGTAAAACGACAAAGTGTTTATAATATTAATGGAAGTGGCGCACAATATAGTTCTAAATCACGTGGGAGGTTCAAATTTTAACGAGCGCGCGATTTTTCCGTTCCTCTGAAATGGTCTCACCAATAAAAGTCCACCGGAGATCTAAATTCGTCTCTAAAATCATTTAAAAACGTTTTTTTTTTTTTTTCAAGATTTCAGTCTCTATTATACCTTTAAAAATATTGCCTATATATATATATATGTATATATACCGATTTCAACATTTCTAGCTGATTTTTTTAACATTTTTAGTTGATCGCGTAAAACGTTAACGATATTCCGGCAATAATAGAAATAACTTGTGTTTTTGCATATCTACAATTTGTAAGCTTTACTTTAATTATGCAATTATACTGAATGTCTTCTGCGGATTTGACTTAATTGCCATTTAAATAAACGTGTGTGTGTGTGTGTGTGTGTGTGTTTGGTGGTGTGTGTTTGGTGGTGTGTGTGTGTGTGTGTGTGTGTGTGTGTGTGTGTGTGTGTGTGTGTGTGTGTTTTTGTGTGTGTGTGTGTGTGTGTGTGTGTGTGTGTGTGTGTGTGTGTGTGTGTGTGTGTGTGTCGTTATCTTTTAGACGACCATTAAATGTCGCGCCTTTAAACTTCTGTATCGCTTTTAATTCTTCTGTATCGTTTATTATCTCGTGTCTTGATTTGTCGGGAGAAATTTGCAACAAAAGAAACACAGTGCCGTAGAAATTAAGACAATATCTCTTTCGGTGGGAAAATTTGGAAGTTCTGCGATTAATTATAATTCCACGGTGCAATGTTTAATCAAACACGCAAGCTAAGATTTGTACGAGGCAATTTCCTATTCTAGCGCAGGTCCTTTGCCCTTGACTGGCACACTCTCTCCTTCTATTTTTCCGATTATCCTGTCGCTCTTTTTTACCCGGCCTCAACATATTGCAGTCCACGTCCTCTCGTTTATACGCCATCCTGGGCGCGTTGGACAATCTGGACGGATGAACGGCTGCGTTGTTGCGAAACTGTGGGTTTTTGAAGAAAAATCTATATAAGCTTTACCTTTTCTGATTATTCATTATTATATTATTATTAAACAATATTTTATTATTAAACACGAAATTAATGGGACATACAGAAGAAATAAAATAACAGGCGTATTAAGTAAATCAGACTAGAATAATGAAATTTACTTTATGACTTTGATTTATGTAATTGACTGATATTTTACATATGAAATGCCTTTTGAAGGATAGAACAGTGAAAAAGTTCCCGATTAGAACATGCATACTTACACTATCATTTTTCGAGCTCTCGGGATGCCTGAGTATTTTAGAGACGATGTGGACGCACTCCTCGTTAGTCAGGATACCGCTTGCCATAGGGCCGCTGACGAATTCCCGGTCGTTCATAAGAAGGTACCGCACGCTGAAGCAGACGTCGTCCGTGAGGACGGCTCTCTTGTTGACTGGGAGAGGCTCGACACCCTGTCTCCTACACTCGGCTGCGGCCCACCTGTCCAATGCGGAGAACAGGATGCACTCGCTGGTGATATTCAGAGTGTTGCGGCGCGCTAATTGGGCGACCTCCTGAGCGCTAAGTTCCTCGAACTGCTCCTGATGCAACACCTTCGCCGGATTCGAGTCGATCACAGACAGGCACTTGAGCAGAAGATCGGTGCACACGAGAGCTGCAATGTGAACGAATATATTTAATTTCTTTGCTTGAATACTTTCTGGTACCAATTACTTTTATTCTATTTTTATTCATCTATAGTTAAATTTGTAGTGCCAAATTATACTTAATTTGAGTCATTTTTAACTATTTCTTATAGGTCGCCACTGCTTCTAATCGTTGATTTAACTAAAACAATTCTAACTAGCAGAAGCTTCTAAAAGACGCCTTAAAAACATTTAAAAAACATCTAAAGAACGTCTAAAAAATTATGTCGTCTTTTAAACGTCTTCGTGATTTAAGATGTCTTTTAGAACTTTCTGCTAGCTGAGAAGTTATTTTAACTGAACCAATGGAGTCAAAGTAATACTATTTTGTGCTAAAATAATAAATTTCGACACACACACATGGTAAGTACAGCCGATACTATTTTCAAAGGGATGAAGGGCGCACCTATTACACCGGCGTCGTCCCCGGGTGGAGGTGGTGCCGACGGTGAATTTGGAGATCTGTCAAAGCCAGAATCTCCCTCCCGCAGATCGTTCGCGTAGAGCCCGAGGCCCTGGTAAATTTCAAGTACGGTCGATGGTGTGAGGTGCTTCTCAAGATACGATACGGCGAGCCGCGCGAGGCCAGGACAAAGGTACTGATGAGCCGCGTCGAGAGTGGCCCTGGCCGTCGAGACCGATATAAAATTGACGGGCTCGTCGTGAAGATATCTACGCAATCGAGATGAGTTATTAGAAACAAAATCGGAAGTTTGAAGGGAAATTATTCTTGACGGATTCGAGATTCGAATTCCGTTTTTTAAATCAAAAGTTCAAAGAAAAATCATCTTTGATGATTCGAACTTCGAACTCTTAGGAACTATTATATATAATCGATAGATATATTATATAAGGTGTATCTTTTTAGAACGTCTTGCATTGGCTAATTCAAAAGAAATGTTTTACAAATTTATCTGAAGTTAGAAATAAGATTACCTCAGGTTTTGCCTTTATCAAGATTGTATTAAATAAAATGAATTAATTCTTAACACCAATTTCTTTAAAAAGATTTTCTTATTTTTTAACTATAAATACATCTATATTCAGATGTTTTTATATTGATAAGATATGCCGGCCTTAGCATTGTCATTTATTGTATTTCGAGAATTCCGCTCTCGAGATTTTCTCACGAGGTGAAGAGAGAATTGTACTTCCGCGGGGATAACGTTTACCTGAGAAAATGATCGAACGCCCGCTTGTCAACGTGTTGCAATCGCAACAACGGCGGCGAATTTGTCGCTGGTGGTGCGAGCGGACCTGTAAGCATCGCCCGAAACCATTCTGATCTTCTAGCTAGTCGTTCTCTCTCGACGCAATACGTCCAAGTGTCGCCAGGTAATCCAGCCTGTGTTATATAATTTATTACAATTATTACAATAATTCCAAGTTGATTTTATCTTACAATTAGCAAGTACTAAATTAGAAGCTCGATTATACACTACTCAGGTTTTTTTTTTCAAGTGATAATGTTTATATTTTTATATAATCTCTTAATTATACAAAAAAGAAGATATTTAAAATATATGGCATAATATAGTATATGTCAAAAATAATTAAGAAGGCTTATTGAATGACAAGTTCAAAAATAAAAAAATATACTTTTTCCTAACGCGAGCGTGAAATGGGCCGCTTTTCGCACTTGTTTTGAGTGAGCAAAACGATCCATTTCGCAATGATGACGTAAGCGTTGAAAAATGGAGCCATTTCTCAACTAGTGGAGAAATGAAATTGTAAAACAAGCGCGAAAAGCGGCCTGTTTCACGCTCTTGTTAGGAAAAATAGTATGAACAACTCGTGGGAAGAGTGGTCGAGCCCAAATGAGTGTAATGGTCGCACTCGCTTCGCTCGTGCGACCAACTTCACACTCATTCAGAATCGACCACTTTTCCCCACTAGTTGTACAATATACTAATTTGCTTATATCAATTTATTTTCGAACATTTAATTAAGTATCCAATTAATCGATTGTTTTTATAAATAAAAAATCTCGTATTAAATTTGAAACTGAAGATTATGTTTAACTCTGTATTGACGAAAGATTTGCATTTATTTTTAAAGCGCACCTCAAGCATTACGATATTTTGACGATCTGCGTCTTGCAAACCGCTCTCAGGTGTCATAAGAGGAATTCGAGACATATTTGCCAGATCTTTGTATGATGTCTTCGTAATCAACGGTGGGATCAGGATTCTGGAGTAAATTTTGCTCCGCAGTCCTTGAGACTTCTCGCGCCACTTCTCAGTCTGAATGCGAGAGAATTGTGAGTTGTCGCCTGTAATATAATAAATAAAACTCTATTTAGATCACGCGAGATTGACTACACAGAAAATAAATTAGTCTTTAATCAAGACGAATATATTTAAAACAACACAATCATTGTTTTATATATAAGAATACATAATTTTCTTAAAGGAATTTTATATTCTTGTATTACAAGAATATTAAATAATAGTAAAAGCTCATAAGATTATAAATCAATCAAAGAAAGATGAAGTGTGGAGCCGTAACAAGGTGTTGGTGTTCATATATTCTATACTTCCGTAAAGAATTAACGAATTGTAATGTACATACTGTACATATACATATATTTCAACTTAATAGACTGCACGCCGCAAATTTATCGGACTTGAAACACAGCTATCTTGGAACATTAAAAACCCTTCTCTATCCGGAATTAAACCTACACAATTTAATTGTTTAAAAAACGTAAAGAATTTATTGTGAAAAATATTACCTCAGCCAGGATACGTACAGGATGTGTACAGTATGTACATTACAATTCGTTAATTCTTTACGGAAGTATAGAATATATGAACACCAACACCTTGTTACGGCTTCAAGAATATTATAATTTAATTTGAATATAATAATTGTCACATAAAGAGTACAATATGATTATTTTGATGATAATGATGTCCGCAAATGGCACCTATAGAAAAAAAAGAACATTCTTATTTAGAGAATGTTCTTTATTTTTTACTTGTAAATGTTAAAATGATACAGCGTTAAGCAAAGCTAAATTACTCTCATCAAAATATCATATATAATTCAATAAAGAAAAATATATTCTTATTACTCAAAGATAATTTTTGTTCAAGATAATGAGGTCCCGAAACCAAATCTGCTTTTCGCTTCTTCGCAGCCCCCGCAGGGGGGTCTGCTTATATACGTGGCTGGATGTATTTTAAATGCGAGAAAGCTCTTCTCGTCATGCGCCGCTTAGCGGCGTTGTTGCGAACTACCGTCGGCGCATCGGTGCGGTATAAATTCGCAGAACGTGCGTGGACCTGGGGGTCGATTACGGTTCTTGAAACGAAGTGAAAATTACAAAAGTGAACAGATTTACTAGATTTTGACCAATAAAATCATAGATACCCTAGTGAATTTCCTCACTTTTGTAACTTTCACCTCGTTTCAAGAACCGTAATAAGCCCCCTGTTCGGACGTGTTTTGTCCGACAGAAAAAATTTTTGAAAGTATTGTTACTGTCTGCAGCAGTTTCCACTCAGATTTTTGGTATTTCCATTCAGACTTTGCTACGCTAACAGTGTTCCAGACTTTGTATAACAAACAGTGGCAAATGCTGGCCGAATTGTCCTCTGAAAAGAGGCAGGAGTCAACGAAATAGAAGAAGACGAAGAAGATCGGTGCGGTATGCGCAGATGCATTTTATGGGCGTAAGCTGCTAAAATGTTTTCTTCTTCATTGTAACATAATAAAATTGAATCAACATTATTTGTGTTTATACAGAGAGTATATATTGAATTTTAAAATAAGATTAAACTGTCTTTTTTATCGTTATAATATGAATATTCTTAGTTTGAAAGTACTGTTATTCTCTATTTAATTTTTTTACTTTTCATTAATAAAAATTATTTTTGAATATATTTTTAATTAGAAATAAAAATAAAAATATATTTTTCTTTATTAAATTATATATAATGCTTTAATGCAAGTAATTTGTTTTTGTTTAACGCTATATAATCTCATTTTAAGATTTATTGTTAAAAAATAAAGATATTTTCTAAATAAAAATGTTCCTTTTTTCTGTGTCAGAAGATAGATAGAGAACTATCGCGGGTAAAACAACGCAAGTATTATTATTTTTATCTTATTAACTCGCGACACATTGCCGCACTTTTCAGAAACTTATCCTCCGTCAGTACCGCGAACAGCGCGGGTCACTGTATTTTTTATGAGAGTGTTTTTTTTATGGCACCGTCCGTGATTCATGGAAACATTATCTCACGGCGCGGGCGGCTTGGGTTCGATTTTTTTGCGCGTTTTATCAATCATTACCGTTTACTTTACATCGACTGCCGTGCCAATGTTACGAGACGCACCAGTATATCTAATTCACACATGGGTTTGGCGGTGTTTGCGGAAGATAGGATTTTATTTCAATTAGGTATTGATTTTTGTATAGTGGAAACAGATAGCGCAGCATTATAGGTGCTTCTGTGAGTTTTATATATGTATAATTATATATATATATAAATATATATATATATGTAGGTCCAGAGGTATGTTCCGGGACTGTTTACGTTTTTACTGGAAACTGCCAAATGTCCCGGAATATACCGATATCAAAAATTAAAGTCCCGGAACATACTTCCGGACCTACATATACAGGGTGTCCGAAAAATCGCCTACTCCACTTTGGGAGGTGATTCGGGACCCAAAAACAAACAAAAAAGTTCAAACAAACATAGGTCCGGAAATGAACCGCTTCCGAGTTATAGCCACTTTTATGTTCAAAAATTGTAATTTAGAATCCGCTTGGCATCCCTCTTTCTTAATTATTTCTTAAATTAAAAATTTTTTATTTATTTATATATATTATTATTTATATATATAGGATATATATACAGGGTGTCCGAAAAATCGCCTACTCCACTTCGGGAGGTGATTCGGGACCCAAAAACAAGTAAAAAAGTTCATACAAACATAGGTCCGGAAATGAGCCGTTTCCAAGTTATAGCCACTTTTATGTTCAAAAATCGTAAATTTTTATTTTCAATTTTTTTAAATTACAATTACCAAATTTTCTCAAGTTTCTACATTTCGAAAAGACGCTATTCCCGGTACATCTCGATTTGGAAAAGACTGGATGTATAATCTTCTTGCCTCGGCAGCATTAACTTTGAGCAAGACCATACATAAGATGCATATCAGCTAATTCATTAAAACTTAAACGATCCATTGATGAATACGGAAAGATTAGATACAACCTAAAAGTAAGGTGTTGTTAAATAATAATTTGAAACTTATTGAAAAGCCGTGATTTACTTACTGATTTTGAATAGGCGTGAAAACAACTGATTTCAAGTAGCCGTGAAAACAACTGATTTTGAATAGCCGTGAAAACAACTAATTTTGAATAGCCGTGAAAACAACTGATTTTGAATAGCCGTGAAAACAACTGATTTCTTTTAAAAATAATGTAATTGTATTTACAAATATTGAAAAATTGAAAAAAATTAAAATTAAAAAAATTAAAAATATTTAAAAATAAAAATTTTTAATTTAAGAAATAATTAAGAAAGAGGGATGCCAAGCGGATTCTAAATTACGATTTTTGAACATAAAAGTGGCTATAACTCGGAAACGGCTCATTTCCGGACCTATGTTTGTATGAACTTTTTTGTTTGTTTTTGGGTCCCGAATTACCTCCCGAAGTGGAGTAGGCGATTTTTCGGACACCCTGTATATATATAATATATGTATATATATATATATATATAATATGATAATATATAAATTTAATATATGTATATAAAATTGAATTATTTGTTGAGATATTTGCAGAGATTGCACAGAAATATCTCACTCGACAATTTTATTTTGTAATCCATCAAGAATTTTTTTCGTAAAAATCATGCTGTAAAAGTTCCCTTCTCTTATTAATATTTTATAATATTTATTCAATTTTATATATCTACATATATATAATTCTCGATGGATTACAAAATAAAATTGTCGCGTGAGATATTTCTGTGCAATCTCCGCAATAAATAAACTTTACAGTATAAAAGCGATACCTATGTTTATTTATCGCAAAGATTACGCAGAAATATCTCAACGAAAAAATCTCACGTGATTCATGATTAAGAAATATTGCGTGAATATATGAAATACATAGTAGCAAAATTAACTGCTTTGACTTAAAAATATAATAGGACTTATCTTCATAAACTATATAAATATAATGTCCTCATAAATAATGAAAAGGATAAAAATAATCGAAAAATTACGATAACGATGTTTTAAATTTAAATAGCTTTCTGGTAATTTTGCGTATTTGTTTTTAAAATAACAACTAATTTTTCTAATATACCTTGCATATCGGCGCGTTTCTTATTATACATTGTACCGGTGAAAAACCAGCTGGGCACAGATAAAGTTATCGAATCAAAGACACGAACATCGAATTTAAGAACAATATATACTATAATGTTGTCCCGCAACGTGGAAGATGCACGGTATATTAATGACATCGATACTAATATGATCGACGATTACTATATATTAACACGAGTGAGATGCCGGTCTATTGACAAAACAGCGAGGAATGTTTGATAGCAACGGCTAACTCTCAATTATAAACTTGATAAAGGCTTTACAAGGGACGCATCTCCATTTGGTATTATCTGAATTAAATTCACAAACCTTAATTTTTTGTTAATCTCATCAATCGATAGAAATATATAGAAATATACTTTTAGATTACAAAGATATAATATAAATAATTAATTTTTTTACATAGAAATAATATAGTTTATGTAAGAAAGCACAAAAGAAGCAAGCATATATTACAAATAGACCTGTTTGTCCTCCTGTTTTCCAAAAGGAACAAAACCAAACAACATACCACTGATTACTCACTGCGGTTGAATGTAATTCATTTCGACAATGTATTCAATTTTTCACTTTTTAAGCGGCTTCCATTTTACAAACTATTATTACTTTTCCGGAAAAAATAATTTGCTTTATACAGCAACTATCTTTCGCACTGTTTCATGACGTCGGGAAAAACGATCGGGATGTACTGGTGAGTCTCGTGACACACTCGCCGGAGAATACTTTGTTTATTTATCATCGATGAGCAGAAGAGGGCATAGAACCGAACGAGAAACTCAGAGGGCAGCCCTTTCAGAGCGACAAGTCCCGCTTGACTGACAAATCGATCGGTCTCCCGCTTCCTCCATAAATGACTCAGATCCTCTCAGAGGAATCGGTTAATGTAAATGCATATGTGCTTGCATGCGTTTC